CTTAACTGGAATTAAAGTGCCAGAAATTCTCTGGTCTCTGTCTCCATATTTCCAAACTGTGTGGGAGAAGCTAGATAAGATTGAATCAATGTGAATTCTGTTTTAGTCATTAAAAATCACAGAAAATCAAACTTAGATTTACACAGTGCCCAGACTTTGAAAGTATTTAATAAATAGTAGAGGCTCTTATTATTGTATCATCCTTCTCTGCCCCTCCCCCCACGATTCCACCACCCTCGAACACCCTGAATATGTTTCATGCTGAGTCAAATGAACATACTTATCATTTTTGTAGGTCAAAAGATGGTTGCATATAAGCACTTTTATATAGTTCAAACTAATACAAACATAATTAAACATATAAAAAGAAATTCATATTTTCCTAATATTTTACCATGTTTTACTATTATTTATACAGTTGTGGTTATGATGTATTGTGTCTGTATAGTAGATATTCTATATAATGGTGTGCTACCATGTATCTCTTCTCAACTCCAGGTTTAATGACATCATGATCGAAGGTTGGAGTTGACCATTGCAGGAGTGTTCACACCATGAAAATAGGCAAATGCTGCAAATCAGCTTCATTTGTTGTTTGGTTGATTGTCCAGTCTTAAGAAAGTGATGGAGAAAATGTTAATAAAGCAAATGAAACTTAAAAGCATGTGTGATGTCTATAGCCTTACATTGTGAATTGCAGGAAAAATTGAAGAAATATTCTTTCAATATTTGAAAACTTACCAATTCAGCAAGGAAAGCTCTCATGTTATGAAAAATTAGTGAAGTTCTGACACGTCTTCATTGGTTCACTTTTGTACTATTCATTAACGTAAATAAAAATATCAACCAACACTCATGTTGGAAGTATACTTATTTGCCAATTTCAAGTATAGGTTGGGTGCAGATACAAAAGCTAAGCAAAGTGCTGCCAGTTAGCTCAGTTGGTTAGAGCACAGCCTTATGACACCAAGGTCATGGGTTTGGATCCCTGTACTGGCCAGACGCCAAAACAATCAAAACCCAACAAAAAAAACAAGAGCTGAACATCAAGAAACTCAACAAGTTGATCCTCTAATGCTATGAAACTAATGACTCACAGGAACTCTTAAAATTGACAGAAAGTCACAATAAATCCTATGTATCCTATACAGACATACACACATCCACAATTATATAAATATGTATATTATGCTACAAAACCACAAAATACCCTCACTATTAGGAGAGGTATAGTGTCTGTCACTCTGAGCATAAAAAGTTTCTTTCTTTCTTTTTTTTTTTTATAAAAGATGACCGGTAAGGGGATCTTAACCCTTGACTTGGTGTTGTCAGCACCACGCTCACCCAGTGAGCTAACCTGCCATCCCTATATGGGATCCGAACCCCTGGCCTTGGTGTTATCAGCACCACACTCTCCCGAGTGAGCCATGGGCCGGCCCTAAAAAGTTTCTTTCTAGATGTAGTAGGCTCTTCCAAGCACAGTGAGGAAGCAGAGGCGATCAAGGCTGCTTCCTGTCCACAGTCCTCTGGATGTCTTTGAAGCAGGTCAAGGCCTCGCTAAACTCTGAGACAGTTGTCAGGGTAGGCAGCCACACCCACCCTCAAACACCCCTGGAAGCATCTTCAGGGGCAGAGTATTATAAAGGATGCGCCAGGACGCCATCCTAATGACAAAGTCAAAGGCCAAGTCAAATTCCTTTCTTAAAACGACCGACACTTTTTTTTTAACTTTTAAACTTTTCATTATGGAAAATTAAAAACATACACAAAAGAAAACACTACTATAATTAACCCCTACGCATCCATCTTACAGCGAATCTTGTTTCAGCTATACCAGGGATCAGTAACTTTTTCTGTACAGGCTCAGATAGTAAATATTTTAGTCATTGTGGGCCATATTGTGTCTAGCAAAACTGCTCAACTCTGCTACTGTAGCAAGAAAGCAGTTGTAGACCACACATAAATGAATGAGTATGACTATGTTCTGGTAAAACTTTATTTGCAAAAGCAAGTGGGGGGCCAGATTTGACCTCTGGGCTGTAATTTGCCAGCTCCTGATCTATGACCTTGCTTATTTTCTCCCTACCCTGAATTATTTTCAAGTAAAAAGATGCTATATTATATCCATAAATATTTCAGTATCTTTAAGAAGTGATTGGATTGTAAGCACTGTTCCCTCCTTTAATGGACTGATCTATTCCTGGTGTAATGGGCTTATGGTTTAATGGGTTGTCATGGGAGTGATTCTGATGGCTTTGTAAGGAGAGCAAGTGAGAAAGTTAGCTCTCTTGCTCATATGATACCCTGGTTACCATGAGACCCCGTAGGGAGTTCCTGTGCAGAAAAAAGCCCTCAACAGATACGCCCCTGGACCATGGACTTCCCACCTCCAAAACTGTAAGAAGTGAATTTCATGTAGAGGGTTAGAAATTTTGATTCCTATTTGATTATTAGATAGGGTTTTTAGGTAATGCATGCGTGGGACAAAGGTCCTTGGATAAGAGGCAAGAGCCTGCCAAATCAATTCTAATCAATCTATATGTTCATTCTCAGTTAACTTTTAGTATAGGGTTACAGGTTATGCATGTATGGGACAAAAGTCCTTGGATAAGAGGCAAGAGCCTATAGCTAGGGGGGCAAGAGCCCACCAAATTAATTCTTTTTTTTTTTTTAAAGATGACTGGTAAGGGGATTTTAACCCTTGACTTGGTGTAATCAGCATCACGCTCTCCCAAGTGAGCAAACCGGCCATCCCT